TACTGTTTTCTGAAAAATCATGAACGAGTATTTTTGTAATTCTTCTACAATTGTATTAATTATCAAACTGACTGTTTCCCTTTTCTCTGTTTTTTTCTTCTAAGATTACTAACTTTAATTTCTTACGTTACCTTATTTTGATTATGTTTATTTCATTAGTTCGTACTTTGTTGCCGTTATTATGTATTTCTTAGTTCTCTGTTACTGTTATTATTCTACCTACTTTATTTTACTTGTAAGTTTATTTTACCTACATCTTTTAGTCTATATCTTACTTTTTTTGTAATTTAATTCTTTATTATTCAATGTTAATAGTTTCTCATACCTATTGTTACCTGTTTTTTTCTTAGCCCTGGTGAAGGCCTTAGGGGCGAAACGTCGGCGAATATAACTATTTATTTATTTATACTATTTTTTATTTTGACTGATCACCCCAACCATTCTTCTCTTCAGTTATACACAATTTTGAATATTTTCCCTTACGAGGCAAAAGCTGTCATCCTCTTTAAGTGTTGATTTTTATCCAAATTGTCATTGTATTTAAGCTAAGAGTGAAAAATTTATTTTGATGAAATGCAGTTTGCTTTGTGAAACAAATCAGCTCCTTAGAATGCACATTTTAAGTAAGGTATGCGGATTCTATTGTAGTCTTAAGCATGAATGGTGGTGTGGTGGATGTATTGAGTGAGAAGTTTGTACGGACGTAGGTCGCCCCCTAAAAAAGTTCCTCCCCCACCTTTTATTACCCCTGGGTCCAGAGCAGCTGCTGCCAAGACGACTCCGGAAGTGCCCTGAAGAAGGTATTAACTGGCGAAAGAAAAGACGGGAGGAAGCAGATGCGGAGGAAGTAAGGGCACGCGCCCCTCCCCGCTATATTTACCACTTCCGCTGTCACCTTCTTTCCTACCTTAATCTATTCTTCCCTTCTAGTTATATTAACTTGTTACGTATTTTTGTCTTGTCGGTTCCTAAACTGAGAACAGCATCTAATATATTTATCTATTTTTGCCGCCTTCTGATATCGAAGATAATAGACAAAAACGGTTCTCGAACTTCGCAAATAAATATTTTTGGCTTTCAAATTCTGTTTTCTATTATAATTCAATGTACTTAGTAGTAGTAACTTACAATATTAAGTTAGCGGCGTTCTGCTTATTACACTACAAAGAAATAAAGGGTATAACAGTTAACATATTCTTATCACAACTTACAAGCACGCCAAGTTAAGTTAACCCCGAACCCTTATTTGGTATTTTACCCTTATCATTTCAGCAGAAAATTTAAATTTATTTCAAGCATATCATAAACAGATTTGCTATAAATATTTTTCTAGTGATTATTCTTTTTTTTTTGTTATATTCTGTTTACTCAAATTATGTTTAATCAAGTAGTTTACATAGTATCGGCTAACTGTGTTTTTTTTTTTTAAGTATAACTTTTGGCTTGCCATTAAACTGCCAAATGAATGCAGAATTTCAAATTTTAAGGTGGTGGATGTATAGTTAAATGACGGTTTAAATTTTAGGGATGAAAAATAAAATATGCAGTCAGTAATAGTGTTAGTTATTAACAATCTCTTATTATTAGTTAACAACAAGTTAACCTTCCACTATTGAGAATTCATAACTAATAAGATATTTCTAAAAGGCTTCAAGACGTTAGCTGAATTAAGGTGTAGAAATAAGGTATTAGTGGGTTAATTTTTAAAAAATAGTAAGGTCACCGTGAGCTATTTATAACTAAAAACATTTTTATATGAGTTCCGGAATTTTTTTAGTTACAACTTTTTTAATTTTTCATAGTCTTAGATGTATTCAAATTTGTAGTAAACATTTTTAAGAATATTGTTTAAATTTAGTATAGAAGTTACGGCGAACGGAAATAGCAGCTTAGTGTTGTATAGAAGGCTGCCCTAGCCTTCTTCCCGCGGTGGGGAAGGATCCGGAATGAATCAGTCACTATAAATGTTCCATTTCATTTGTCGGTTGGAAGCGGCGTCACAGAGCCGACGCAATACTCTGGCGTCACGTTTCCTATCGAGCCGGCACTTCCTACTCTATTCCGCAGTGGTAATTTAACCAATGCCAGCTGTTGAGTTTGTTATACAGTTTATAGTTCTCAACATTCGGTCCGAGCCAGGGCTTAAAATGGTCATCTTTATATATTTCTGACGTGCATGATTCATCTGTTTCTACTTAATTCGGTCTATATTTGGGATTCTGTATCATGTTCGTCGAACCAATCCTTTTATTTTCTGGGAATTATTGTCGGACACACTTCTATTTGTTGAACTACAGTAAAACTATAGAAATTGTTTCAATCATTTTCTCTGAAATTTATTCACGGGTGGTAGAAGAAGACACCTCTGGCGGCAGTGGACAGTCTAAATAATGGACACGGTGTATTTCATCATATCCACATTTTTATCTTCTTTTGTAATTGCCTTTAAAGTTACAGTCAAAATGTGTATTTTTTATGTTAAACTTAAATCCAGAATTTACTCATTAAAACTTTTAGAAGTTTCATATTGTAAACATTCTTAACTTTTTTTTATCATAGTACTTAAAAAGTACTAAGTAGTTTCTCAAGTACTGAAATAGTTCGTAAACTTGCTTTAAGTGTTCGAATTCAGTCGAATATAACAATTTAGTCACTATAATCCTTTGTTTATTTGAATTTGTAAAATATCTAGATTGTACCAATATTGAAACATTGATATTTTTTTTGGAAGTTCGTGTTTTCCTTGTCAGTCAAAAATCTTTCTACTACTATGGAACTATAACTGTGTTCTTAGTAAACTAAATTATCCATCATTCTTTATGGGTGTCATTTTGATTTAAATAGAATACGATGCTCATTTGATAGTTAAAAGAAGAAACTCTTCGTTTTGAATCTATTGACAAGCTTCAGCTCGGGCGACGATGCAGCTCGGATGATGAATTACCTTCAACTAGGTGCACTCACCTGGTGATTCACCATGGACCGGTGCAGCTGTGAATGGACCAGATCAAGAAGGCACTGGAGGATTAGGGTTCACTATCCTCAGCCTCCCAAATCGTACAAGACAGGTGTAGGCGTCCCGTCGCCCTGGTTACTCATCTCACTGTTATCCGCCGCTCGCTGACGTCACTTCCCCATTACGTAACGTCACTTCTCCCCTCCCTTCCGACTACGGCTGCGCCCACCGTCCTCTCTGACATCATACCACTAGGAGTGGCAAAGCCTCTATTTCAAACATTTCACTTTATTGGAAAATTGTCAATGAAGCCAATAGTAGTTAGTCTTACTCTAGTAAGAGTAAGAACCATACAAGGCGTTAAATTTAAATACACTTGAGTTAAGGTATTCATTTTGGGATTGGAGTTGTATTTTGAATAACCAGGAAAAAAATAGATTTAAAATAAATTCAATACTTAAAAATAATTCAATGGTTGGTATAGCTATCATATAATTGTGTTTATTACTTTCAATTCTAGTGATTCATCGCTTTTTCGAGATAATTTTTAAAGAATACATATATTTCCCTGTCCTTGAAATTCTGTGGTACTAACTCCGTCATGTTATTTAGTCCTCGACTTTGATACCCTTTATAATATTTTTATTCCGCTTTGTAAGCCCACGAGTTAGTTGACCAAAATCCGTAAAATAGATTGATAAAACACGATCACCTAATTTCATTTATCTAAAACAATTTGTTTACATTTGCACTTGAATATATCGTACTATATATTGTATATGTATATTGTAATATTACTATTATTGTTTCCCATACGGTAGTACTAGGAAATAAATTACGATATTAGAAGTTGAAATTATGAAGCTATCCTGAGAAGAACTAAATAAAAACTATCGGCAGAAAGGGTGGGAGGAGGGGAGAGTCGGCCATGTTGTTTACACATTCCTGACCGAGCGCCATCTTCCCTGCCGGCCCCTCTCCCGCGGCCCACAGCATAAACAACGGGACTTATTGTAGTATATCTTGCTCTTCCTGTCTTCTTTCCTCGCTCAACCGTTCTTAGCTCTAATTCTGTCAAGACTTAACCATCTTCTGCTAAGTTAGTTTTGGTGACTACTCAACAACTCTTATCCCTCGTAAGTTCTGTATTCGTGACAATGTTGAATATCGCTCGGTCAGGCTGTATGATATTTTCATCATGTGTTATTTCAGTTAGTTGTGTTTCAAATAGTGTTTTTATTCTCAAAGACAGAATAATCTACTGTGGCAGTTGTAAAATAGCGCTCATAGGTTGAGAATTATCGCTAGTCATCCTCCAGTGTGACGCAGTTACCAGGTTAGTAACCTCCTCAGCATGATATTGTATAGTTTTCTCATTTCTGACGAGAGAAAGTTATTATTAAGAGTAATCCGCCTATATGTCGTGTGTTAGTTGTAAGTTGTGATAATGTGAAAAGAGATAGTGTGTTGAACTTGAACTGGGAGGGGCGTTAGTATTGATCGCTCATCCCCTCCTGAGGCACCACCATTCACCGGCCCCCACTCTCCGGCTCCGTACTACGTACACACCCCCTCCTTTAGTTCTCATTCTTATTATTTATATTAATATTACTATTATTTATAAGTGGAACTTTTTATTCCTATCTGATTTATGTATGAGTTTGTTACGTTCTTGATTTCCCTAAAGTGTGGCCTAAGTATGAAGCATACCAGTCAGATTAACCAACCCATGAAAATTCCTCACATGCTTTTGGAATGTTTGGTACTAAATCAAGATTTTAATGATCTTAAAACCACTATTTAAGTTCATATTATGTTTAGCTATATTTTTGTATTATGTTACGCCACATATGTCTCTTGTCATTTTCTTTATTAATGTTTCTTACAAACTGAATATTTAAGCTTCATAAAAAGCTTTAAAAACTCAGCTACAAATAAGCCATCTGAAAGCTATTATAATCAATAATTACAGTTTCTGTTAATGAAGTAAATTTATTATGGTTTTTTGAATTTCTTAATTAATTTTCTAATTTTTCTGTCACAGATGAAAGAGTTAGATGTGAGGTGATAGAATATGTGCCACCTTTGGCTTTGTTCTTGTCTGGAGAAGGAAGCAATGGTGATTTACGCTCACTCATCATTTCTCATCTCCTTCCAACCATCATTAGATCCTTGTCAGATGAAAATTCCCAGGTAAGCCTAATTTTTATTTTATATTACTTTTCAACAATTTTTTCTTGAGTATATTATTTATTAATCGTGATGTAATGAGATATGTTGTGGCATCTCCATTTGGGTCATCATACCTTGATTTATTTACTTGGCTTTGTTTTGTGTACAGTTAAAACAGATAATTTTATTTTAAATGAATATTTACTAAGTATATATTCCTTTTTGCTGTCTCAACAACATTGTGATGCTTAATTTATTGCTAAATTGGATTCTATGATTAATCAGTTATTTTTGTGTGTGTGAAATGAAACAGATATTAATCTGTTAGTGAAATGTAATAGTTAAATATTTCTATTTAATATTTTTCTTTTAAACTTCTGTTAATGTCTGAAGTTTATTTAAATATTTGTTTGTTTGAATCATTGAATCAAAAGTTGTAAGTTTTGTATTCTTTCTCGAGATTTTTACAGATAATTGTCAATTCAGCTTTTGTAGTATTTAAAATAAAATTAAAGGTTCTTATTATTATAAGCAGCTTATTTTGATAATGTTAGATTATAATTGTTGAAAAATGGCATTTTAAACTAAAACATATGCCTTAAAATGAACTTCTTTACCACTTCTGTTAGTAAACAGTATAATGCAACTTCACGATTTTAAAATAAAAATCATTGCTTTCGTTTACTTTAAGTATACATTTTTGTTCTGTCATTTTAGGTAGTAAAAATGGGTGAATCAGCTTTGTTGTCACTTCTCGAACACTGCCTCATATCGTCACAATGTATCGAACACAAGGTGTGGCCTGCTATTATATCACGTATTACTCACAAGAGGAATGCTGAAGCGACAATTGGGGTAATCACTGTGAGTTTATTTATAGGTAGTTTAGGAGTTGTTTTCTAACACCTGCATTGTATGCATCCATTACTTGCTAGAAAATAATTTTTTTTATATTATCTATAAGATGTTATAAGGAATAATGTTAAGTACTTTAACTTAATTGAATTTTTTTTTTTACTTTAGGTAACATTTTTCTTTTTAATTAATTTAATCTGGGAGTTGCCTGCGTGAAAGACATGGGTAGTGAGATGTGTATTACGTCTCACTACCTTGTCTTTCATGTAGTCTTCTCCTGCATGGCTTACCAATTCTGTTGCTGTATTCCAGCTCCTGGTGTGCTACAAGAACTAACCTGGGGTCAGTGGCATCAAAGCCGGTTTGTCATAAGTTATTAATCACCTATCACAGCCAGCTTTGATGAGCACTGACCTTCTAGGAGAATTTCGTCATGAATTATCTTCATTGATCTTCAGAGATTTTTGAGGTGGTGAGTTCGTCAAAGCGGTTGTGCAATGCATTTTAGGCATATCACAGCCACTTTGATGAGCTTCAACATCTTTTCACATCATCACTTCAGTAGCAATAGATATAACATTTTGTCATTTTCTTTGTTAATTATGTTTAAACTATTTAAATATTGTAATTAGTTTTAAAGTTTTTATTATTTTTAAAGTTAAAATTTTATTTTTGTAACGCTTGTGAGGTAGGTATTAAGTTGTTCTGAACAGAAAACAACCTTAGCCTTTTCATTATATATTAAATGTTATGACCATTTAGACAAATGTTTAATGTGATAACATTAATTTTGTTATTTATATATATAGTTTTACAATGTTAGACCTTCGTATATATGTCTATTGGTTGCTCTAAGAAAACAAAGATTTTTAGCTTAATACTATAAGGACTGAATATACATTTTAAAATTATATTAATAATTTTATAACATTTTTAGTTGTATGCTAGTTTTACACCATTATAGTTTCACTTTTCAGGTGATATTATCTTATTTACCTGACCAGTCAAAATGGTTGTGAAATGTTTTTATTTCATATCACAGCCATTTTTGACGAGTCAGGTTGTAAGATATTTCTACATTCTTCATTTTTATTTATTATTCTGTGTTTTTAAGTTTCTTATTATTTAGAATTCTGTTTTGGTTACAGCGTCTCACAAAGTGGCTGTCGTATGTTGTTTAATCTCCTCATATCACAGCCAGCTTTGATGAGCGGTGTGGTCAAGTTACCCAGCAATTCAACACGAAAGGTGTCAAGAACAACACTAAGTGCAGAAGAATGCTGACGTTCGTCAAAGTGTCTGTGTTTATGTCATTTTGTATCATATCACAGCCAGCTTTGATGAGCGTTGGTTTCTTTTACTCCTCCTTCAGTTTCCATAAGAGTTTTATATTTTGTTTACAAGATTTTTTTTTATTATTATTCAATGTTATGATTTATGTTTTGTTAAAGTTAGAGATAAGTACAATTTTTATTAATATTTTAATGAATCAACTTTAATATTATTGGCTTACTGTTAACATTATAAGGCTTAATAATGTGAATATAGTTCTTAATTTAGGTACCCTTACTTTTTATGATTGTTATAACCATGTAGTAACAATAAAATTATTTAATTCAAGAAATGTAAATTGTATCCTATGTTATACTTAAATTATTGTATACTGGATAATCTATTTAGTCAACTGTACTTAGATCAATTTTTTATAAATTAAGTTATGTTCTTAATGTTGTTTTATGTTGATTCAGGTAATAAGCAAAATGGCGCCTTGGATCGGATCAGACTTAAGTGAAAGGCTTATTGTTCCCCTCCTGGAAGAACTGTCTCAAGAATCAGAACTTGGCATCAGACGAGTTTGTGCTTCACTGTACAGAGATCTGTGTTCAGTTGTATCCACTGAAGTTTCAGAATCTAGGCTGGTATGTCATGCTACAATCTATCGAATTTTTAAGTCTGTTACTATATGATAAAATTATCTCTTTAATCATTATCAACTGAATTAGATTTGTTATGGGAAAAACAAGTAGGTCCTTACTTTGTCTACCCAATTTAACAAGTTAAGATATGTTATTCTATTTTGAACCTTCTGGTTTTCCTAAAATTCAAAATGGATGATCATTTATTAAAGGAATATATTTATCTGTTCCTGCAACCTATTTTAGCTCAAATTGATATGTATTACATTTTAGTGACTTATTGGTTACAATTCATTATTTTAAGTTAGGTCATTTCATGTGCTAGTCACGATAGTTGACAGGTTTTACCCCCTCCTCTACTCAACAAACTTTTAAATTCTAATAAGTTAGCAATGCCCTTGTAAGTATTCTGATAATGGATCTAATTTCTTTCTATTTAACTTAAGCTGCCAGCTAAGTAGTTCTCCAGGGTCAAGGATTTGTTTTATTATTATTCTAAGGATAGGCGTTCTCCAAAATCCTTGACTACAGTGGGTGCGTGATACAGTAGGCATACCAAATAAATAGAAGAAAAATTATGAGATAATGAAAAATGACATTTAAGAAAGAAAAAAAAAGCAATATATTTTAATTTAATCAGTATTTCGAAAACTACTCCTCTACTGTTACATCACTAACACTATGTTTTCATGAAATAATTAATTTTCAAATGCTATATAAAAACATCTAAAAATTCTTGTTTAAAATGGAGAAAAGGTTGATTGATGATCAGAAGGAATGAAAGAGAAAGCTCTTCTTCCCTTTCTCCCAATTATGTTCATTAGATTTCATTTTCCTTGATAAACATTCCTATTAAGTTTTGCTCTTTCACATAAGGCCTGGATTTTAGTGTATTGTATGTATTGAATTCTTAAGTTTTGCTCATTTTCAATGTAAAAAATTATAAGAAATATTGTTAGATATTAAATGGTATTTTGTAGATAGTAAATTAATCGACAATGGTTATATAATTATGTATGTAATAATAAAATTTAAAAAGAATTTTTTATGTGATAAAAGTTAATTTATTTAGAAAATGTTATAAATTAATAAATCGTCTACTTAAAATTTCTTTTCTTTTATCCTTATGTTCTACTTTCATAGTGATTTATTTATATTAATTTTTCTTTTTATTCCTTTTTTCTTCTGTTAAAAATTAAAAAGTTAGTTCCTATCTGATTGATCACAGTAAATAATTCTTCATATTTTTCAATCACCATTTTCCCCCATTAATTTTATTTAGTGATCCATATTTCTGTAAATAAAAATTTCCATGACTTGTATATTTAATTGGGGTACTAAAAACTCATAATATCCATTTGGTTTCCTCATGGGTTGTAAGATGATTTGATTACATCAATACGCTGATAACGCTGCAAATTATTCCACAACGGTTTATTATTTCCAAAGGATTATACAACTAAAGTAACATTACCTTCTTAGTTACAAAGAAAAATAAATAAAAGGTGATTCCAATTTTTGGACTAAACTTTTTTATTTAATCAGTAATATGCTAAAAAAAAAAATATGATTACTTCAGTTACACATTCAAAATTTAAAAACCAAACAAAGGATATAACATTTGAAGTAAAACATAAGGCCACCTTTTTTCTCAACTTCAGGCTCAAATTATCTTACGATTATATGGAAACCAAATGGATATTTATGAGTTTTTATTACCTAATTTAATGGACCAGGTTAGCGAATCTCCAGATAAAAAAGTAACTTCCCAATTCTGAGAATTATTGTAAATAAAATGTTTGTAGATTATGATGAGATAAAGCTATTTATGAAGTTTCAGGCCAATTTTTATAATTTAATAAAAAGGGGTCAATACCGCGGATTATAAATACAAAACTGCACCCGATAACTTGATTTCATTTGTTTATTTTTATGTTCATTTTTCTTCTGGTTGTTTTTACCTGGAGTGTGTCAACTAAGAAAAATATTTTTTTTTTGTCTAATGTTTACACAATATTCAACTTGTACCAGAAGTAAAATAACCTTATTATAGCTATCATTGCATATTTACAAAAAAATTATAGAATCCAAACTATTTTAAATTTTTCGCTGTTGTCAGTGACAGGCCTTTCATCTATCAGTGTTAAATATGACAGCTGTCTGATTACTAGCCCATGCTTTTCACTACTGTGTTGTTAACCTTATTTTATTGTTTCCATCCTACTGTTTGATTTGGGCTGCGGGCTGACTGATAGAGTCGAAGCCTTTTTTAAAAATATTTAACAATTAAATTTATATAGTATTCTTCAAAGCATTCATCAATTCAAAGTCCAACTTCACAAGTAAGACTTTATATTTTTGTTTTGTGCCGATTATATTTATTTTTTTAGAATAAACCGCACATATTTTTTACATGCATATTTCTTTTATTTACCTTCTAAACTAAAGTGTACTGACGTCCCGCAGAGTTTTGAGAAAGTCCCAATTTTCAGAAAGAATGTATGACAAGTTGGAGACGGCTGGAGACCAGCAAGAGAATATATGGTTTTCGGCAGCAATTTAGCTATTTTGCCAGGATATAGGCTTTATATTGTTTTTGTTAATTTAACATGTTAAACTTAAGTAATAATAAATATTTACCTGTTAGGAGCTGTGTAGCAAAGTTTCCATAGTTGCTCAGTTGTTTAAATTCGACCACCATTGTTTGGACTTAGTGATAATGAACAACACGTAAATGATCCTTATTATGATAGATCAGGTATCCTTATTTTAAAAAATATACTGATTAGGAAAAGGTTAAATCTTGTGCATCAGCAAATTAACTTCATTTACTACTTTAATTCCTGTCAATGTGGTCACCTTCAACAAGTTAATTGCATTTTGAAAAAGAGGTACTTGAATTTGTACAAACTCCTAGCACAAAGCCTTAAAAACTGTGTTATTGGTTATAAATTGGACGTCAAATACATCATCAAATTATTCTTTCTCAAAAATTAGCTTTTAGAACTAAATTCTTAACCTTATTTCAGCTGAATACTATGTTATATAATGAACATTTGAACCAGATTATCATAATGTAAAATTATTAATTATAACAAATTAGACAATTGTTTAAACTTTTTTTTCTGTCCTCTTCTCCCTCACCTTTTAGGCTATATCGGGTTTTTCTGTGTCGAGGAGTGAGGATGAGGATCGATACCAGAGTTAAAAGACCGGGCGCCGGTATGCGAGCTCTTAATTATTTTTTATCAATTATCTCGTATATCAGGTTACTAGGCAATGGCAATGCTGTGCACACGTAACCCCACTCCTCGCCCCCTTGCCACGCACTATTGTTTAAACTTAATGAATGAACCAAAATTTAATCAAGAATTTTCCCCTCTCTGGGATTATTAGTGTTACGCTTTCCTATCTTTTCCCGTTCCCGCTTTACCCATGTTACAATCTAGTCACCTTATTCTTTAGAATTTCTGGTTTACCACTGTTTCTCCATTTCAAAGAAAATTAAACAAAAAAAAGACTAAATTATAACTAAAATAATTAATTCTATATGGTCATGTAACTAACTAATCTAATCCTATTTGATCTAGTTTCTAACTTAAACAACTTCACTAAATTAAATAAAATTTATATAAATTCAGCAGTTAAACACAAGGTTGTATGACATAAAACCTATAAACAAGAATAAAAATAGCGGGGATAGTCAAAGAAAGGCTGGAGCAGGTAGTCACTAATAATGGTTCATACATTTTACTAGAAAAGCTCCAAAATATATCCCACACCATCAAATGGCTCTAGTTGAAAGCTTTATTTCATTAGGAAATCAGTAGAGTGTAGCAAGTTAACAGCGGTTGCACTCTACATTAGCTAATAGAAAGAAAAGCAGTTAAATCGAGGGCATCTTGGGCTCTTTGCAGACGTAAGATTCCATTGGGAAATAAATAACTAAGTTTAAAGATCAGATCTAATGACGATCTAACAATATAATAAACTATTGTATCTTCTGGACTACAGATCCTTCGCTTAACTTACTTAATCTATTATACCATACTGAAACCAGTTTGAACATAGCATAGGCTCAGTAAAACAAGCATACCTATATACTAAACACCATGTGTGTTATGTTGGCATCAACATTGTTAACACTTATTAGTTTATTTTAAATCATATTATACAGAACTTATATATCTTGTTCATAATATGTATAATAATATATATCTTGTTCATCATAACTTATATATCTTGTTCTATCACTTTCCTCCTTGCTATCTGGTTGATGCACATTAATAAGGAAATGGACATGAGTGCTGCTTCAATAACTAAATCGAGGCCATTATCAAACAAGTCAAAGAAATTTCGCATTTAATCCAATTAGTTAGGTATGCTGCATACCATCCAGGCTAGGAATATTGTTGAATTTAAGAATTTATTATATCAGCTTTGTACAATATTAATGTCCATTCTCATGCAGCCATTCACTTGATGGTTAGATATGGCTTTAATTTATTTCTTGGGCCATCCAATATTATTGCAGGGATATGTTATGTTATTAATATAGATAGATGGAATATGTCCTTTTGCATACCTGGTCAACTTCTCGGCAATATAAAAACAAGTTGTTGGCATAAATAACTAATTAAATAATTTAACTATAATTCTGAGTACAAATAGCACTATTATAAAAGAATAATGTAGCTAAAAAACTTTGTCATAATAGGTAGCTCTGTTTTTGTATTATGTATGACACTGTATAAAAATAATTTTCAGTCCTGAGAAAAGTTTCATACTTAGCCAGCTTTGGCTCTCTCCTATATTTTTCATAGTTCTACGTCTTAAATGACTTAAATGCATACTATTACAATTATATCTTTTGTTAATTAATATTTAATAAGAATCTTATTAAAACTAAGTATTAGGTGTATACTTATATTTCCACTTTTTATTTTTAAGGTTCCTAGTTTCTTGAAACTATGTTGTGATCCTGAATGGGTAGTGAGGCAGACTTGCGCTGAAGTTTTCATGTCCGTGTCTTGCAAGGTTACTCTAGCGACTAGGAAAGCTCTTTTGGCCCCAGCTTTTGCCAAACTGTTGGTCGATAGAGTGCGCTGGGTGCAGTTATCTGCATTTCAATCTCTTGGCCCTTTCATAACTACTTTTGCTGAGCCATCTATTACTTCTCTTGGATATAACAATAATGGAGAACTTGTTTTGAAGCATCGAGGTGCATCTTTTGAATACAAGTAAGTCAGTTTATCATTATTTAGTTTTTAATTTATATTTTTTAAGTTCTATCCTATTATACTTTTTTTAAAAATAATAATGTCATCATACTATTTTTTCCCCCTCCCATTTTAAAATCCAATGTATTTAATAATTTTCTTTTCATGTTCTTGTGAACATATTATATCTCATATTATTGTTCTCGTTAATTATTCTATGTATGTACTCAAAATACTTGAGTTATTAGAATAATATTGTGTGCAATGTTCACAATAATGTGGACAGGAAATTATTTAACAATAACTTTTATTAGCTTTTGAAAATAGGTGAATATCTTATTAATTCTTCCAAAAAAAAAATTAAATTGATCATTATTTCTATTGATCATGTAATCATTATTTCAGACATAAATTCCAAGTTTATTTGCTGATTCCAAGCTTTCATTTAAGCTACAAATTCTCAACAGATTATTTTATTAATGTATATCTACAGAATCATTCTTATCCTTTATTGTTAATTTAAAAATGTTACATTAGCACTTTGACTTAAACTTGTTAAAAAAAATTCAACATTTTTACATGATCAATGTATGTTACAAACTTCTATTCTATTATTACATTAATTCATATAAAATTTAAAAAAGAAATATTAGCATTTTCTGTAATAATGTTGCACAATGAATTAGAAAATCTTATCACGCCTTACTATCAATTATTAAAAGAGATGTTTCATTAACAAGCATAATATATTTTTCTGATAAATTATTTTTTTTTTAAAGGTTGAATTCTACTAAAGTAGATGATAAGCTGCTAAACCCTTTGTTTATGGCTTTTATGATGGAAGGAACTAATGATGAATTGGAAATTGATTTCGAATGCAATAATAACAACAAGTTCAGTGAAATGTTTGATTGTCGTTTAGAGTTGGATGATTCACAGAATGCTACTAACTCAGAAGATAAGTAAGTGTGTTACGTAACTACTGGCATTTCTTTAAAATATCATTTTTTCATATATCTTTAATAATAACTACCTACTATACCTACAATTTGTATTTATTTTTAAAAGAAATAACGAAGTTGAGGATCAAAACTTTAATACTTGGCAGTATTGGAGGGAACCCTTACCAGAAATCGATATCGAAAGCAGCAATGAAGAAAATAATGGAATACAGAACGAAGATCAGGAAAATCATACTACTAGCTCAGAAGTTAAACTTGTTAGTATTATTACAATACATACAATTTTGGTTTGTTAATTTTTTAAATAAGGAACTCTTAACCTAAAATCTTTTTGCTGTTTCAGTGTTCACCTATGAATGGATTAGATATAAATAATGATACGGAGGAAGAATCACCAACCTCTGATGAAAAATCTGACTCTAATGATGTTTCTTCTCAAGAAAATCAAAGACCAGAAAGTAATTATTTGTAACTTATGGATGTTTTATTAACTTTAATTATTTATAGTTTTCATTTGTTAATTTTTTTTTTTAGGCATTCCCTGTTTAATTCCTTCGTCATCCGGAGGACAAGACATCGTACCTCAGGAGCTGATAAACCATTTTGTGTCTATGTCTGACCCTAGAAGAGATTCAGCACCAGATTTAGCTCACCATTGTGCCTATAACTTGCCCGCTGTTGCCCTTACCCTTGGTAAAGAGAACTGGGATTTATTGAAACCGGCCTATGAAACTCTTGCGGCCGACAGACAGGTACTTTTTTCATTGCCATACTCATAAATCTATGTTTCTAACTTCAGATTGCTTAAAAAGTAATATTTTTTATAACAACAATAATTTCGGCGAGACATGTAAACTATTACCATCTTATTTGGGCACTTAATTCATTTTAGTCATTGTAAGAACAATGAAAATTGTTCTATATATATTTATATATAATTTTTTTTTTAATAGTGGAAAGTACGTAGAATTGTGGCGAGTAGTATACATGAGTTAGCTGTGATAGTGGGAGAAGATGTTGCTACTCAGGATCTTGTTCCAGTTTTCAATGGTTTCATTAAAGATTTAGACGAAGTCAGAATAGGAGCACTGAAGCACCTCGCCCACTTTCTTAAGGTACTGACAGTGTTCTTAACTTATAGTTATCATACTATTTGATTTGATCGTCCATTTATTCATCATTATCTCGTAATTGTTTGTCTTTTCTTTAATTGTTCCATATTTTTCTCCCTGTTAATATCGGTTATCTATTCATTACAGTTACTGAGGCCTGCTGGTCGAAATTCATTCCTCCCACGACTCACTGAATTCTTAATGACAGACTATGATTGGAATTGGAGATTTAGACAAGAACTTGCCGAACAGCTTCTTCAAAGTTTGGGTTTATTTACTCCAGCAGATACTTGCCATCATTTAGGCCCAGTCATCATGGCTCTACTTCTAGACAAGGTTGCATCAGTGCGGAAAGTAGCATTAGTCCTGGTAAGTTTCTAAATTGATTTGATTCATTATACTCTCTTCAATTTTTGTAGTTAAAATAATTTTTTCAATTTCATATATGCTTCACTAGCTTAACGTTTAGAAGTTTTATTGTTACTTTTCACTCATTTTAATTGAGAAGTTATTATTTGGAAAAGAACAGTTATTTATTTTGTTAATCTTGTTATTTAATTTAAGAAATCAATTAATTCTCTTAAGTTAACATTGTTTTTTATCTTACTTTTATTTTCCTAGAAGAATTGAATTATGTTTAAAGAATTTAATTTAATTAACTTTTAGGTATATAAAAAAACTTTAATCGAACTTTTATATTAAAAATTATATAATGAATATTGTATATACAAATTAATTGAAAATTATTTGTTTGTTAACAAACAGGTAACAGAACTAGTAGCACATGTTTCCATTGATGTCAACCTATTGAGGTCATTATTAGCAGAATTGGCTGAACAGTTCGCTCACTCCAACCGTTGGAACAGGAGACAGACTTTTGCTCTTCTTTGTAGCAGGCTGATAAAGGAAGGGGTCCTCTCTGAAGAAATGTTTGCTCGGGATGTTCTTCCGCATCTTCTGGACCTATCCTGGGATCCAGTTGCCAATGTAAGATTGGCAGTAGCACGTGCTGCAGCGCAACACATTTTACCCAACGGTATGTTTTACTTAGTTAAAATAATTTCACATATCAATATTTTTTAACTCTGGTATAACCTAAACTCTGTTTCTATATTTTCTCTATTATGGTCTGTATTTAAATTATGCATTTAAGGTTTTTAACTTCATTTGTCCTAAATTAAAAGTATATATATTTTTTTTTTCAGCTTACTTTGCTGATCGTTCAAATCCACATAATGAAGTCCTAATGTCAGTCCTCAAGAGATTGCAAGCTGATAAGGACAGGGATGTTCGTTATTTTGCAGTTTACCAGCCACCTAAATCGGAACCTGTTGAGGTAAGATAATTTATACTTACATATTACATTTATTTCTAAAGCAGTATTAATTTCAAGGAACATATCAGTTATCTTTTGCATTTTTTATTTCACTTTTATTATTACTCTATGATTAACAATTTTTTTTTTTTTTTTTTTCAGGAACCTACATCAATTAACTCAAGTTCTGAAGAGTTGTACTAGATACTTAAGCCTAGACATAGTGATAAGTCTGTTGCCTCAACTTAAGGGATTTTTTTTCTTAATTTTAACGATAAAGAAAAATGGCTCAAAAAAATTAAGAAGACAGACACTGCCTTTTAATATAATTTATAAATATTTATATAGTGTAAATGTGTTTAACAAAACTTCTCTAGGAGAGGTGCTGTGAATTTGAATAGATTTTATATTAGTACCTATCAACGTGCATATTGGCCTAAAATTCAAATCTCAGGGCTACTGTTTATATATGTATAGAATTGGTTCTTTTTACATTGTCGTATGCATTGAAATGTTGTAAAATATTGTAATATTTGATGCAATGAAACGTTTAGTAATTTGTTTAATACTTAGTTGTTTTATTTTTATTCCTTTCCACTTCTTAAAAACCCAAATGGCACATGTTTTAATTTACCAGTAATATTCATTCATTTCTTTTATAATTTAGATCCTCATTAATAGTAGAGTTGAAATCTTAATCATATCCAAAAGTCTTGTATAATTACTAGGACTCTGATCTGAATATCTAAACTTATCAAGAAATAGATTTATATCTAAAAAAGATCTTAAATCGTTTATTTATGATAGTATATAGTTCAGAAGGAAGTATTTGTAGAGCTTAAAATATGTCAAACATATTTGAGTTTAATATGGCAAACATAAACATAGTAAAACAGAGAAGAAAAATTCAACCATAATGTTAACAAATAGAATATGAAGAACAAACATTATTTAATAACAAGAATAGTATATTCCTAAAGTCAGCACTAATTTCATCAATTGATAACCTGCTGCATTAATGGACAGCAATTCATGGTTACTTTAGAGTGGGTTCCATCAGAAAGAAACATGTAAACAAAAAATTATTTTTTTATAGTTGCCCTACCGAATTGTTGAATTTCGAAACTGCGAGTTCTCTAAGCTCAGTGCTGTTTAAGAACTAGCACATATAGACAGAAGGTAAACAAATATGTGTGAGGTAAAATGAGATATAACAACACTTATGTTTAATCTAACTGATTTATCGACTACAAAAGCAGATTGAACACCACTGAGCCATCTGTTATATTTTTGATAAACAAATTAAAGTACTCAATCTATTTGTTAATTTAGGAACTTTCCCAAATATTTGGATTAAAATGATATTTTCTAAATTTCTTGGAAATAATGCATTATCTCAGATTTTAGCCAAATTCTTAATTATTTTTACAGTCAATTGTAACATCCTTAATGTCTATTTCATGAAAAATATGTTACAATGTTTATTTTCCATAGAATTGGCGACTTGTAATTTACTTTTTTATTTTAAAATAGTGGAGACAGAAAAGTATCCCATACTACATTGTTTAAGGTTCAGTAATGGGAAGGAGCATATTTAATTATTTATTTCGAAACAAAAGATAATTGTCCAGTAGTGTTTTATTGTAGACTGTATAGCATTAACTTTAATAATTAACTCAGATGAATCTCGTATTTCCTGGAATCCTTCTACAGCCTTTTATCTTTCTGAGAATCAATCTAGAAAATATAGGACTTCCTCAGGCTCAAAGCAGAGGTGTTAAATACCATTTTCTTTAATATTATTTACTAATGCTTTCTAAACAAATATCCTTAATAATAATTGGATGCTTAAGCTTAAAAAGATCACCTGATAATTTGTGAATTGATATTTTTTTTTCCAAAATAAAACAATTTTTTTTTGGGGAGGGGGAGGAATTTAATAAATGATTCTATAGATTTTGTGTATTAAATCCACTACTCGAGATCTCAGTTTTCCTTTAAACAGAAAAAAATTCAAATCTGGGCCTTAATAATTACATATTTATTATTAAAATTATGCCTAAGTTATTATTAAGAATACTAGAAAATATATTTTTAACTAGCAATTCATTGATTATATTTAGATATGGTGTTCTCGTGAATTAGGTAAGCCCTCATAAGTATTTAAAGTGCTTTCGAATGAAACTGTAAAAAGTAATGTTAATAGGGGAAAGAAATATTCAAGATCTCAGTTTATTTAAATTTGTTCTTGAACATATCTAGACTACAATTATCTTCATAATTTAAAAATTACATCCATCTCTGAAATATTAAACAATTGAAAAGTTGTATTAACTGTATAGTGTATATTTATGAAGAAAAATCAATTATGCTGATTTCTATAAATGTCAAATTCAAAGACAAAGCATGAATTTGACATTTATAGAAAAGCACTTGATGAAATGAATGATGTGGATGAAGAGCACTTGAGTTTGGACTGATAAGGAGATTAATTTAAGAGAATTTTTTATGCTCTCCAAAATTTTCTAAATTTAATTCAGTAATAGTTTAAAATCTAATTAAATTACCAACCTGATTATAGGTGTTTTAATGAAAAAAAGGAGTGATTAAAAGTTTTTTTTCATTGGCAGATTTAGTTAAAAGTATATTTCTAAGAAACTTCAGATTTATTTTTCGCTTTTCAATTTTAAATATTGATAGCTACAATTTTTATAGTATGCCAATCTACTTATTTCCTTAATGTCTTGTTTCGTTACAGTTTTCCATTATAATTTTACTATTATATTGATATAATTGTATCTCTATATATTGCAAGTCATTTAATAAATGAGAAAAAGTATAATGACATGTTGGAATTATATTTATCTGTGGGGAGAAGAGGAATTGTCGATAGTTCAATATATAGATACTACTGTCGACTATTGCCCATCCTTACTTGCTAGGGAACAAATAGCTTAATCAGATCTTCAGTGATATTTAAAAATATGGAAATTAAATAGTTAAATCCAGTTGTTCAATTACAAATAAATGTCAAATAGAAGTAATCTAGTATACCTTTTGAACAACTCTTGCATTAAGTAAAATCAAAATCCTTTTTCTCTCCAATACATTTTAATATAAGCTGTATTACAGAAGTATGTTGATTCATATAAACTAAGTATTATTATTGAGAAAATATATAAAACAATTGCTGAATGTGGTGCTTATTTCAGTAATAGGCTGTGCGTTTAGGAAAATATTTCAATTTAATAATAAAGCAATCTATAAACTTAGATCAACAATTGCATTTGGTGGTGAGAAGGGATGAATGACCTCAGGATACTTGGATTTTACATCTCTACAATATTGAGTCAAATATAGAAATTCAAATTCCTAGGTCCTTTGGACCTTGATGTCAGCATCAAAATCTTTAAAACATCCATTGACTTACCAATAACAGTTTTAGACATACTTTTTTTAATGACTAAGTTAAAAATCAAAAGTGGAATTCATTACTTCTCCATGAAATTACCTCCCAAGATAGGTAATTTCAAGTAAGTCCTTTTTTTTTCTACTTATATCTTAGAATCATGTGTTTAGTTATATTCAAGACTTGGATTTTTATGCAATTGCATATTTTGTTTGTGTGATTTTTTTTTTAAACACTGATCAAAAATCTTTACCATGAGGAGACATATGTAATTTACCAAGTTTTATTTTGCATATTTGGGGATAAATACATATAATTGCTTATTGTTTGATTAATTTAACAAAATATAAATGAATATTCACAATATTACTCAATTCTTCTTCGGTGCATACTATTTATTTTCAAGTTAATTTATTATTAGCCATATTTACACCAATTTAAAAAAATTTGTTGTCACTTAATGACTACTCATCAAAATGACGACGTTTCGGCTCGTCGAGCCATTTTCAAGTCTAAAAAAATTTTTTCATTTACAATCATATATTAACTTTAACATATTTCAAATTATAAAGATACTTATTATGTACCTAAAATACCCATCATGTACCTGTCATTTTCACTTATGCGAATTGCAAGCGTCTACTCATAATAAAATTCCTTATTATTGTCATGTTCACCTTTAATTATTTAACAACATTATTATTACTCAATTCTTTACTATTAAATGATTCAAAATAAGTTAAATTTACCTTGTTTCTGAGTCACCCACATTTCATCCATCTCATTTCTATTCAGTGACTGGTTATTCTTATAGGAGTAGGGGAAGACTATTTATTATGAACATATATAATGCTGTTACTCAATATTACATGTGGATCTATTTTAAGTAATATTAGCTGATTTATTTCAAATTTTGATTTTTTCAATAGAACTAGCATAAAAAGTATTCATATTATCCACGTCTGTATGATTATTTACTGAGTTTTTTAAGTTTTTAGTTATGTATATTGATTCTTTAATTCTACGTTTATTCGTATTCCTTTCATTATGTAGGATTTTGGCATTTTTGAAATCAAACTCATGTTTAGTTTGCATATTATGTTGTGAGAGTCCAGTAGCTAATTTAATTTTTGTGTTTTTTTAATTACAATTTTGTTTATGCTGTTTAAGCCTTTTTTCAAACCATTGGGATGTTTGTCCAAAATATGCTTTGTTGTCGCAATTCTTACAATTTATTTTATAAATAATATTCGTTAATTTATCGATAGGTATTTTATCTTTAGTTTTCGAATAAATTGTATCTAATTTATTAATTGGTTTGCTTGCAAATTTAATTTCATTTACATCGTATAGTTTAAATGTTCTTTCAATTTTATCAGTTAAGTTTCTAATATATGAGACGCTAAAATATTTTTTAGGTTGTTGTTTGTTCCCATTACATTTTTCAATTTGTGTCTTAATGTCATGTATATCGTTCATGGAAGGTTTTTGTTTTACTGCATTTTCAGTTTTAAAATAATTTGTTATTAAATTCGGTTCTTTATTAATTTTAATATTTTGCTTCACTTTCTCACTCCTATCATTGCTAATATCAATAATCTGTTTGTTACTATTGTCATTTATAATTAACTTTTTATTTTCATACCATAATTTATTAATTAATCGAATGGGGTACCAATTTTCTAATAGAATTTGATATATTTGTGCTTTGATTTCTTTTATATGGTTTTGATCTGTTATTAATTTTGCCTTATTTATTAAATTTTCACAATCAATTAAATAATCAACAAAGCAT